AAAAAATCAAGAGAGTGTGAAATGTCCAGTTGGGGAGAGAGTTTGAAATCTCAGGATCAATCATCAGCAAAAGCTTTCCCAAGAAGGTGACTTTATTTTTTAAAGGAATAAGAAGATGAAGGGCTGGTTACTTGGATCTCTGACAAAGAGTATTTCAGGCTCAGTAAATTGAAAATGCAAAGACCCAGAGACAGGAATTCCTGGGATGTTCACAGGAGAGTGGGRCAAGAAAGGCCACGAGAAGGCATGTCTGGCAGGGCCGCACAGGCCAAAGGACCTACTTTTGGCTTTTATGTTGAGCAATAGKGGAAACCACTGGATGGTTTTGAGCAGAGAAGTTACATTCTTTGAYTTATTATTTTAACAAGGCCTTTTGGCTGCTGCCTTGAATAGAAGAGAAACTAAAGCAGAAACCAGTAAGGGGGAAATTCTGGTACTCCAGAAAATATGAYGGTGATTTGGTCCAGAGGAGAGGTGCTCACCTTCTGGTTATATTTTGAAGGTGATGGGATTTCAAATAGAAAAAGAAAACTCAAGAATTAAATCAAGATGGACATGGTAGCAACTTGGGAGGCTGAGGCAGGAGGATCACAATTTCAAGGCCAGCAACCTAGTCAACCCCTATCTCAAAATTMAAAAAATAATAAAAATTGCCAATTCTTGAGATACAGAGAGGACTATCATGGGAGGCATGTTGGGCACAGATTAGCAGAAGTTCAGTTTTGGACATGTTAAATTTGAGATGCGTGTTAGATCTAGAGTGTAGATTTCAAATAGGCAGTGGGGTTTAGATGTGTGGAATTTAGGGGACTGATTTAGGATGGAGATGTGTTTGAGAATCACTAATATAACTAAAGTCATTGAGATTAGATGCAATTATCCTGGGAGTGAGGGAAGATAGAAAAAAGAAGAGTTCCAAAATTTCAAAGGAGGTTGAAGAAAAAGGACTACCGAGCTACAGAGACTGGGAAGGAACATCTAGAAAGGTGGAAGGAACATCAGGCAAATGACTTGTCTAGAAGACAAAAGCAGCATGTGTTTCAAGACTGAGATAGTGAACTATGGTCAAATGCTGCTGATCCATCAAGTTGAGTGAAGGCTAAAAATTGATCCTTAGATTTAACAACATGCTGGTCACTGGGGTCTTTGAGGAAGACTTTTTGTGGAGTGGGGAATTAGAATGGGTTTAGGAGAGAATGGGAGGAAACTGCAGAGAGCAAATACAGGTAAGTCTGGCTATACAGGAAAGAAATRGGGCATTGGTGGAGGTAGGTAGGATAGAAGAAATGACTTGTAATGATGAGGTGAGCTGGGGAGRAATGCCATACCCATGAGCAGCAGGGAGGAGGCAGGGAACTGGTGTACAGAGGTGTCGGTCTCTGCCAGGTGCATGACTTATTTATCCACAGGAACAGGGAAGAGGGCAGGGTGTATAGACAGAGATGTAGATTGCTTCATATTTTTGCAGAAAAGTAGGAAGAAAGGTCCTTCCCTGAGTCAGGATGGGGCAGAAGTGCTGGAGGTAGAAGGAAAGTAAATAAAGTCTGAAATAGCTGGCAGAGAGTAGAAGAGGGCAACGTGAGTTCTGGGAAGCCTTAAGGACTTATGGCCATGAATTTACACAGCCACCTGTCAGCATGATGATGTGCTTTCTTCCAGTTGTATGCAGCCATAGGAGTATGAGCATGGCCCAGGCAGACAAGTGGATAAAAGTCATGGTTATGGGTTTCCAAGCAAGGGAGAAAGTCCAAGGAGAAAGGAAGTGGGGTCCTAATAGCCTTGTAAAGAGCTAACTGAGATTAAGCCCAGACTCGGTTGTTAGCAGTTGAGTCAGACCTRATGGCCTGTATGTATCCCCAGAAGACTTTCTAAACACTTGGCTGCAGACAGAAAATTGCTAGGATTYGTATAAATATTTCACAATTTATTCTGGAGTGCCAGAATATAAATCCAGCCATAAAAATTGTCCAACAGTTCTTGGCTAGGCAAGACTTGGCGAGTAGGACGAAAGAAACTCATTTTATAGTAAAATAGCAGCCAATCTTCCTTTAATAAATAATCACCTCAGTAATAAATAATTAATAGTARTTACAGAAAATAAATAGCATCTCAGAAAAGATTTGTGCTTTGGGTCTATTTTTTGTGGACCTCAATTTTCTGGATAAAATAAAGTCAAAACAATCCCAGATATTTTAGATGCAGACTTAAAAAGAAGATGGCATTTTTTTTTCTTGTGTGTGTGTGTGTGTGTATGTGTGTGTGTGTGTGTGTTGAGGGGGCAGTGAGTATCTGCTACTCCTAAAAGAGGTGTCAGTTTTTCTGGCTATTGCTGTAGTGAGCTCTGGGAGTGTGCGGTAGCATTGTAGCTTTTCAAATTAAGCCAGAAATCATGGCTTATGTAAAGTATCCAATTGAGGGGCTGGCGTTGTGGCTCAGTGGTAGGACACTCGCCTRGCATGTGTGAGGCCCTGGGTTCGATCCTCGGCACCACATAAAAATAAATAAAATAAAGGTATTGTGTCCAACTACAACTAAAAAATAAATATTTAAAAAATCCAATTTAAAAATGTTAACAACTTGTACTTAATTATTTATGTATTTATATATGATATATTTATTTTTGTGGTACTGGACATTAAACCCAGAGGTGCTTTACCAATGAGCCATATCTTCAGCCCTTTTCATTTTTTATTTTGATACAGGGTCTTGCTAAATTACTTAGATGGGCCTCAAACACGCAATCCTCCTCCTATCTCAGCCTCCTGAATAGCTGGGATTACAGGTGTGYGCTGCTGCACCCAATGGCAACTCATTTTTTTTTWAWWWWAAAAAACTTTTTTACTGACAAATCAAATTTTTTWAATTTTTGTTCTAAAGCAGCAGAAGCCCTTAGTATGCAACTGTTCCTGGTGTAAAATTATGCTAATCTCTTATCAATTTCTCCTTCTCAGTCTGCAGAGAATAAATATTCTTGCTCACTTTGGAGGACTAGTCTTGTCTGAGTAAAAACCAGGAATGCTGTAAATACTTGGTGCTACTGTTCCAAGCCATGGTGGATTAGGACGGCTTACTGTTCAGGTCATGGACACATGGCCAGCTACACTGATCCTCATGACAATCTTTCTAAATACTCTCACTTTTTACCATATGACAAAGGAGACCACAAAAACATGAACTGTTCATTGAAGTAGTAGAATTTTATTTAATGAAATCATTCAAAATTTGTATCTTCTAAGTTCACCCCTTACATTATATATAATTCTTTTATTTACATATACCAAATTTCAGTAACTTAAAATTCCTCAAATGCTTTCCTAGAATATATTGATTTTCTCCATTTCATCTTTTTGCCTTCAGCTGGGTGGTTACCTTGTTCTCTCTCATCTTCCTGCAGAGACATTTGTATATGACTATATGATTACCAAATAGCTGTACACTTAAATAAAAGAGTAGCCCATAGCAAAGCAAGAGACGTGACTCCTCCTGAGTAGGGGATAACAATAACAGTAGGAATAGTCATATTAGTAATCAGAACAGTTATAAACTGCTACTGTTTAATTCCTACCACATTGCATTCTAGGTACCCTGTACCCATTCTTTCTAATGCTCAGAATATCCTTATTAAGTTMGTATGTTTATCAAATTAGTAGTATATTCATTTTATGAATATGGAAATAAAAGTTTCTTCAGAGGGAAACAATTGCTCAGAGTATCAAGACAGTCTTGACAGAGTCCAACATTAAATCTAGGTAGGCCTATCTGATAAGAGTTCCATTGTGGTTCTGGGGTTCCATTGTGGTGTGGCCTTAGTTCAGTGACTATTAATAACATTCCTTCCTTGCCCTGGAGTGTGATACACAGTTCTTGTCCATGCASACATTATACTCCAGCACAAGAGATACAAATCAAAGTATATTTTAGAAACAACGTGGTTAGCAGGAGCGGTAAACACAAGCTGCTRTGTAAAAGAGAGAAAGCAAGCCCAGAGCGCTACTGGAGATCTGCTGAAGGAGATGACACTCCCAACAGATCTCTAAGGAATGAGGAAGAATCATGTTTATCACKCAGGGGACAATATTCTAGGTAAGAAACACAAATAGATGTGAGAGAAATGTGTGTGTGGTGTGTGGTGTTTTTTCTTTTTTTCTTTTAGAGAGAGAGAGAGAGAGAGAGGAGAGAATTTTAATATTTATTCTTTAGTTCTCGGCAGACACAACATCTTTGTTTGTATGTGGTGCTGAGGATGGAACCCGGGCCGCACGCATGCCAGGCGAGCACGCTACCGCTTGAGCCACATCCCCAGCCCTGTGGTGTTTTTTCTAACATCAATTAGAAATAAGTTGAGTTCTTCTGWCTACTCATGTTCAAGGTGCTAAGCAGCAGAGGCTGGGGTGCTTGCCTGTGTACTGGAGATGATGCCAGTGGTCTTTAGCCAGATTTGAGGGAGCAAAGGAATCTCTTAGCATCTGGGTGAAAGGATGAATCAGAGGGCACAGGTCTAGAAGCTTTTAGGATCCTTRGCGGTTCACTATTTTCTCAGCAAAATTTCCCTAGAAAGACCATTGTTTTGTGCACAGAGAAAATTAACTTGCCATTATCACCGAGTGCAAGGTGTGATGTACTAAAGGAATACCATAGTAGGACACGCCCGCCTTTGACACTGGCCAACACCACGCATGCATAAAGAYAGTCCCTCAAGAAAGAAAGATGGACACATTGTCAGCAGAAATCACAAATTTATTAACTCTTAAATATATCAATCAGTCATTTACCATTATGGCAAGAAATATATACAGTGTCCCATGGTAAACTGCAGTGTTTCAAAATGATAGAAGATAATAAATGTGTAATTCAATTGTGGTGGAGAGAACAAATCACAATTTCCTCACATCTTAGTGCGGAAGACAAACTTGATCTACGGTAATACTTCAACACCACATGCTAAGTTAAAAGTGTAAAAAAACAAACAATCTACACCTACTTTTTTTTTTTTTAAATACATGTATGCCACGTAGAGCCGCTTCACAAAAAAGGTAAAAGAAATTAAAAAGGGAAAAATGAGGCCATTATTTTTTCACAGATCTCATTGGCAGGTTAACATGGCTCAATACATATAATGTATATATTTATTTTAAATACATGTTGTTTTAAATTGTGTAATAATTATCAGAAAAGCTTCAACCCATCTACCATACGTCCACTAGCAACAATATCTAAGGTTATTAGTAATCAACACAGAAAGGTGAAATGAGAGAAAAGAGGGAGGGTTGTTTTTTTTTTGTTTTGTTTTCCTTCTGCTTTAAAAAATAGGCTTCTGAGGACTGTAACTATGGTTAAAATAATGCTGATGGAGATTCCATGCACTAGAAAGTATTTCAGGGAAGAGAAAAAACCTCACAGGAATTGAATCAACAAAGGAGAAATGAGAAGCACAAAGAAAACCGGGACATTTCCCTTTGCTTTTTATTTTAAACTGGAAAATCCTAACTCCTTGGAGGGGGAGAATGATATTCTGAATCAAGAGAAAAGCTAAAAAAGCACAAGTTGCAAAGATCAAGTTCAAAATGCTTATGAGAGTGGAAACATCTCTAAGCTCTCTAACTTTAGAGCGCTAGCTAATGGTGAGGCAGGAGGGGCCCTACACTTTCACAAGGTGGAAATGAGTGCTTTTGCACAAAACAAGTGCTTTTGCACAAAAACCTAATCCACTCTCAGCTTGCTATTTTCCTGGCATCCATCCCAATTAGTAGGGTGCACTGTAGTTTACAAGGACTAACCTGGTGTCTAAGTTTCAACAATTCCAATACCTCCCACATAGTTGGGATACTTAAGTCCAAACCAGAGCTTAAGCTTTATTTAAACTTTATTTTTATTCAATTATTTTTAAGTTCTGTGGGCCCAGAAGATGACCAAAAGTGCTTTTAGCTCCCTCCAAAATACCTCAGTTTTTATTTTACCATTGTTCTGCAAATTTCACTTTTATTCTGACACATTGCTATCCACAAGAGAAAGAAGGAAAAGAATGAAAGAACAAAAGAATAATAAAAAAGGAAGCATACAAAAGTAACAAAGAAATGGGATAAAATGAAGAGAGCAGAGGACAGAGTTGAGAAAGGAAAACAAAAATCAATTCAGCAAATCCACTAGAACAGTGTATGTTCTAAAATGATCAAACTCATACGTGATGTGAATTTTTCCAGTTTACACTTTGACTAAATACATCATGGCTTTAGATGGCAGTTAACCAACTGATTCTTGCTTCTACACGCATATGTGATTTTTTTTTTTTTTGCCCACATATCAACCCACTTTAATTGTTCAACAGCAAAGCTTTCAGTGAAAAATCACCCATTTCAACCAGGATCACACCCAGAAACTGAAAGTATATATATATTTATAGATATAGATATATATATTTTTGCCTTTTTAAAAAAACAAACAAGCCAAAACAGAGTTCTAAAAAATTTACATATCTCTTACAAACTGTCGTTCAGAGAACAATAATTTTTTAAGTCTGTTACATTAAATCTTGGCATAAACAGAGAAACTAGATGAATAGTTGTACTTGGAATATCCTGGGATTTTTTTTTTGTCTGACCTCCCCCTATTGGTTGCCAACAGTAATTTCAGTTTGCATGGAACATCCCCATCGTTGAAGTGTAAACAATGTACAGGAAGGAATATATGATAGATGATGCATCACGTATGCATAACATGTAGGACCTTCACAACTTCATGCACTCGGAAACATGCATGAAGAGGAGGAGAGGACGGCCCAGGGTTACCATCCGGTGCTTTGAGAACAAAGAATGCAGAAGTGGCACGTTGATAATTAGCTGAAAGGAGAGAAATGGAAGAAGACATAAGTTACGTTGCTTCATCAAATTGCTTTGCCACAGATGTGCCTACKCCACAATTTTATAATTCAGTTAAAGATCAGATTAAAAATACTGCATATAAGAGATATTTGCTTAAAATCGTTATAAGATTAAATACACAATGTTAAAAAAAAAGTCAGGAAGAATATAAAATGACTCAGTATTATCTGTTTTTTTTTTCACACAAAGCTAAGATAGAAATAGAGACAGGGTCATAGACATCAAATTATTAAATATAAATATGTATTTTGAGTATTCATATTTACTAGACAAATTTAATAAATTAATATTATTGTTTGGTTGAAAGAGATTGGAAGTTCAAGTTCTTCCTTAGGTCTTCATTATTCTAAGACTCCTTGGGAAATTAAACTTTGAAATGAATTTAACAAGGAATATAGCCACTAGAATGGAAAAAAACCCCCACAGGATTATTTTTATTTCATTCTTTAAAGCAACCACTGAGAGCACTATTTCTTAAAAGTTCTTATAAGGTCCAGTTTTCGAGTGGGGAAAATATTAACAACAGCATCACAGTTATCTGGATCCTAATCCAAGCGTCAGAAACACATTTTTAAAAACAACAACATAGGCATGAATTTAGTTATGGCCAACTTTCAATTATCCTGTGGAATACCTTACTTTGTACCTTTTAAATTTCAGCTTGATTTCCACTTGTGGCCTGTTCTCAGGAGGATCAAGTACCATCATGCTCAGTCAGGCACAGCAAACTAATTTACATATTAACCTCAGCCAACTGCTTACAGCAATTGCAACTTCTAGAAAATAGTAAATCACCAAAGGATTCTAAAGGTGAATAAGAATTAGTCTGGATAATTGAGAGTTGTCTGAATTGACTCCAACATAACTGACTGTTGGTCTGAGAACTCCAGGATTCTAAAATAACACAATCTAACAACAACTACAGGAAAAAGGTCCTTCTCAGCATGTATTACCTTTAAAATTAAGGGTTATATTCTAAAGTGGATGTTAAACATAAGAGTTCATGCAACACTGCTATGGATTTTTAAAGACCTTGTATGTGTTTCATGGAATATAATGCAGAACAAATATCCTCCAGGAAAGAAAAACAGCCATGCAGCCTTTCTGAGATTAGCTCCAATTGCAAAGTATCCCGGAGCAGGATGCTACTTACAAGACCCATATGTGAATGGTTTTCAGGCCTTAGATGTTTTGCCACAAAGAGGTGCCTCCTGAGAAGTTTTCTTTCCCATTTGGAATACATGGTGGCCTATTAAGAGAAGCCCCATTTAAGCCACCTGGCGTAAAAGGAAGTTTTCTTAAATAGGCTCTATCCCATCAACACTTCAGGGAATTGCAGAAAAACCCAGCCCCTGCTACCACACGAATGTAATCCCTTCTATGTTAACTGGCAATTTGTGTTGTACCTCTTTGGGGTAAAAGAACCACACAAACACAAAAATAGTTGTCTTCATTATCTTCATATTCCTTTAGTGCCTTTCTCTTGATGATATAACTATCGTTTTTGGAATTTCAACCTATTGCTTTTAAGGCATTTTTTTTTTGTCTTTGTTGATCCCCCCGCCCCCCGCTTTTTTTTTTTTAATCCAACAGTGATGTGATAATTATCGAGGCTTTAGAGAAGGCCCTTGAAAACTACTGTGGTATTCATCAAACTAAGAAATCATGATGGATTCTCTGGAGTTGAATGGCTTGTTTGTATGGACTTGACTTCCCATTCCACACCCTCAACTACCAACAGGTGATGTGGGGAGAGAATTTGGAAAGAGATCAGCAGTGGACTAAATAAATATCTCTTCCATCTAAGCTCCCTTACCGATCATCTTGTCCTACTTGGCCCATGTAAACTCTTTTCCTCCATCTGTCCTTTACTCCAGTTGAAGCCAATCTTCCTCACCCATAACTGGCTACCATATTAGCCCAAATCCTGACGTTACTTTTCTTCATGCTGCTCCCTTAGTTAGGACTATCTTCCCTTTGATCTTTTTATGTTTCTACGTTTCCAATAACACTTGTCATTTAACCCTTGTCTAAGATTCTATTTTATATGCAAAGTGTTAACAGCAGTGTGCTCTTGGGGTTCCTCATTCTACTTTACTCTTCAGTTGATTACTTGATTACAGAATTTTATTTATTTATAAAATAAATAATTTTTATTTATTGCAGTTAGTTACTTTCTGAACTAGAATGTATGTTCCTTGAGGGGCAAAGGCCTTTATCTCACATTGTACCTGGCACAGGTGAAACACCTCAGAGATGTGCAATAAATATTAGTATGTTTATTGACTGGTAGCCAAATACAACCTTTGAGGTAGAGCAGTGAGGTGAGAAAGCACTGCCATACTTGATATTTGCTTGGTAAAACTGATTTATAAGTTTTCTAATGTCAGTCAATGAGCCCCAGGGGGTAATCTAGGAAGTGAAGCTTCTTAGAGTTCACTGGCCATCTTACAAACTCTGCTTTTATGCTTTCCTTCTACATACATCACCTTCCTCGGCCAATTGTGAAAATGAAGTCACAAATATTTTGCCTTATTACATGAATCCTTCTGATTTAACCATACGATAAATCAGTAGATAGTGACAGTGTAGTTTCTAATTTCTGTCAAAAACTATGGTGTACTGCTTTATGGTAAGTTTTATTGGCTTGTCTGATTGACTGTCCCAGAGAATTGAAGACTCTTCCAAAGAAGGACTTTATTTCCACCAATGTGATCAACCACTAGCATTAAATAACATGTGCCATGTTATTAACAGTGGAATAAGTAGAGGAGCTGACCATAGGTATATATAGTAACAAAGAAGCTGACAGCCTGGAAATATTTACTTGATGGGTACTGTTGGTGACCCCGAGCGATGAAAATGAACATTCTGCCACTTTCCATCCCTGCGGTGCCACACGCGGGTCTCTTCTGACTGCATTGTCTTTGGCATTCCACTGCCATCCATGTACTGTGTGAGCCTAATGTATGCTATGCAGGCAGCATCGTCCCCGACCAGATGGACATGAGGATTTAGGATAATAGTGTGGATTGGTTTATTGCTTTTGGACAAAGCTGAAAAAGAACAACATGATAAGAAAACAATTAGTGCCTATGTAAAGTGAACCAAAACCAGTAATAACTCCAGTTGATAATAATAGATGAAATGCTACTTATTAACTCCTTAATTAATTAATTAATCTGGCTGTTTGCACTAATCTGATGCTGGGTGCTGTCTAAAGTATAAAGGATAAGAGAAAAGAACAAAAGGGGAAACAGTTTTTTCTTTGATACCCTTTATAGACCATTTGCATGCTATTTTAGAAATTTTGATTGATTGGGAGAAAAAGCTATAAAGTGTATTTATTTGTAATGGGAAATGATTAGAAACAGAAGACATAATAGGAATAGAAGTGGAGAAGGCCAGGCGCAGGTGCTCTGAGCAGCAGCTGTCATCTCAATGAATGACCTGCTGGGGTAGTTCACAGGATAGCTTGTAGTGGAGTGTGTTTTTGGTAAGGAACACAGACAAGAAAACAGCAAATATCAAGCCCAGAGACCACTGTCTCYAAGAAAGGCTGGTCACAGCGTGAATTTGTTTCTGCATCTCATCCTGTGACTCCTCCATGTAGTGCAGTCCAGTCCATGAGAACCTATCTGTGATTATTTAGTGAAAATCTACAATTTGGTGTTGGCCAAATAGGTTCTAACCATCTTTCTTTTGACTAAGTAGTGCTCATGAGGCTCCCATCTCTAGTGTCTTAATAGTAACTACCTATTCTACTTACTCAGTTACCAAGAGACATGAGGACTTAGTACACATTACTTATTGATGGTATTTCTCTTTGATCACTAGAACAGTTTGAATTGAAACTTGCTTCTCATTCTCAGAAAATACTATGTATATTAATCAAAATACTATAGTCACATAAAAAAGGCGGTGTCACGCTGAAATAAGTTATTAATGGGTTAATGGATTCTTTTTACTGCTGATGAGATGATGTTGATTAAGAGTCAGATAGAGGAAATATGATATGCTGTCAATCAGAGCACTAGAACTTAGAGAATATGAGAACATTTACTAAAGCTTTGATCAGGTGAATTTGTCACCTAGTGTTCAARTACATCGTGCATATAAGTAAAAGCAATTCATAATACATGTTAAAAATCCACGTCAAGGCCAGCATTTTTATCAATGTTTATGATTACTGAAAGTGAGCTTAATTATCCTAATCATTACTACAATTTTTTGTTAAATCAACAAGATCTCACTGCAAAAACAATGAGTTCACTGCAGGCATCATGAAAATATAACTTCTAATATCATTAGGAGTAAGGGAAAGAAGAATAAGGGAATTCCTGGTTTACTCACTTTTTGATGGCCTGAGGGGTTTCTATAGGAGAAACTTCTGTCATTTTCTCTGAAATGTGTCTGTTTTATCTGAGACCACTAAAATTTTGAAAGTAAGCACCAAATATGCTTCACAGAATTCTTCTCTGTAGAACATTCTGTGTGCTGTGGTTTTTAAAWTTTTTCTTACACAAACAGTTTCAAAAACCTTGAAATAATACTTTTCTTCATAACACTATGCAGTTTATATTATACATTCCCTTGGACTTAATGGGTGCATTCCATCAAAATTATCTTTTATCCAGGGCTGGGGATRTAGCTCAGTGGTAGAGGGCTTGCCCTTGGTTGTATCCCCACCGCCACCACCACCACAACCACCACACACCCACCCACCCATCCACACACACCCACACCCATACACACACACACACAAAGCCTTTTATCCAAAGGCAGATGTTTTTCAAAACACAATAAACCTTTTAAGTTTGTCTGTCGGTCTGTCTCTCTCTCCTTATGTGTATATATACAGTGTGAATGTATATATATATACATTATTTTCAGTTTCGAACACAAAATGCTTGTAAAATGATGCCGAACAAAGCGTTTCTTATTGCAGAAAAGAGACAAAGAGTTTGCAAATTTGGGAGAAATTTGAAGTTGGAAAAAGCACATTGTTGAATTTGGAGTAAATGTACCATTTTCAAAGTAGAATCGGTGAAAATCCATCCCTTCCACTAAGTTACCCAAAGCTTCAGGTTCAAAGGCAGTAAGACCCGGGTCACAGATTTTTCTGTAGGAAAAAAATAATAATAATAAAAATAGTCAATCGATAAATGTGCTGATATGTTTTGTTCTTCTATGTGTAAAACATTCTTAGTTATCAATCAGAGAAGAAGAGAGCCTCTGAAAGCCACTAAAAATATAAAATTTCTAGCATAGACCTTGGTAGGGTGGGCTGATGAATAAAGTTCAAAGAGAAACTTTGTAGAGAGCTATAATTGGGGCAAACTAATTAACTGATTTAAATAGAAGTGTTTCCTTTTAAGAATGTCTACTTCTTTGTTTCCAAAGTGAATTATCCATTTGTTCTAACTCTTATTGTTCTTTAAATGTTTTCCATATTTATAGTTCAAGTCTGAGACATACACCAAACCCTATAAAAGCAGCTTTGGTTCTAAAATAAAATATTTTGGAACAATATTTTGATGAATCACACCTTCTATATTCACATGAAAAATCTATATCATAATTGACTTAAAGGTATCACATCTTATGCTTCTTGGCATGTCCTCAAGACTTAACTGAGTTTAAGTTTAAAGTTTACTTTCAAAAGAAAATAAATAGGAGGTTAAAATACACATAATAGATTTCTTCTGTATTTTTTCATTAAAATTTATTTTTTTTTCCAGAACTGGGGGTTAAACCCAGGGGTACTATACTACTGAGCTACCTCCTCAAACCTTCTTTTATTTTTGTAAATTTTATTTGGAGACAAGGTCTTGCTAAGTTATCCAAGCTGGCCCTGAACTTGAGATCCTCCTGCCTTAACCTCCTGAGTAGCAGAAGTGTGTGCTACTGTGGCCAGCAAAATTTCTTTAAGTTTTTTCTTTTTTTTTTTTTTTTTTTTTGGGTACTCTACCCCTGAGCTACATCCCTACCCAAATTTCTTAACTATTCAATAGAAAAACAATTTTTATAAGTCAAACTATGCTTCTTCAAAGTGCAGTACTCTTTATAGAATGTGCGGCAAGGTAGGAGATCACAGCAATTACCCTGTGCGGTAAGGAAAGTCGCAAAAAGGTCAGGGGCGATGCTGAGTTTATAAATTCTGTCTGAGGTTGCCTGTGGGGCAATTGTCTTTTAAGCTCCCGTCATATATTTAAAATCTCTTTCTATTAACAACAGTGTTCCTGGGGGAAATTCTGGGAAGTGAAATTGGCCAAATTATGTTGTTATATTGTGTATTCTGTGCATGTAGAAATATGTAAGTCCCATCAGTATGAACAGCTATTATGCACCGATAAAAAATRTGAGGAGAAAAAAAAAAAAAGAATAGTGTTCCTATGGTAACAGGAATCTATTCTGCCAGAAGCTATTATTTCCCTCTATAAATAGGAGTTTGGGTTGTCAATATCAGTGAACCAAAATTCTTACTACTTGACATCATTTCTAAGATCATCTGGGAATCACTATATTTTGATGAATATTTTTACACAACCTTCAAAAGAGTTAATATAATTGTAAATCTGTTAATCTATTTTTTCTCTCTTCACTCATCTATCAATCAGTCAATCATCTATCTCTTCTGCATTTAAAAAAAATTCACAAAGCTGCCATTTGATGTGTGTACGTGTTATGAGCAGGTGTTCTATGGACCAGTTGACAGAGCTTTATCAATATATCCAAAATCTACCAAATGGAAGTGCTCTTAGATTATCTCTAGGCCTAAAAGTACAAAATGGGACCCAAAGCCTCTATGAGCAAAGGAATTAGTGAACCAATGTGATCCCTAGGCATTGTGTTACTTTTAATACCCCACTTTAAAGGGTCTGAGAATACAGATAATACTCTACTTTTGCCTGGCTACAATTATCCTCTTGTCTGAATAAAAAACAATCACAAAGCACATTTTTTAAAAAACCATTCCTCAGGGGAATGCTATTACTAAAATGTTTTTTTTTTGCATTGTTGTTATTTTAAAAAATAATATGATTATTTTTTGGAGAATCAGATGAGTCTAACAAGGTTATAATAGCAAAAAAAAAATAGAAGAAAAGGTTCTAATAACTGTGTCTGATGACAAAAAGTGTTCTTCTAAACTCCATTTAAAAAAAAACCTGTTTCTTTTATTCCAAGTATATATATTTTATTTGGTCTTGTTAAAGAATTGGAGATTTATATATATATATATATATATATATATTTTATATATATATTTATATATATATATATAAATGTATACACGTTTGTATATACACAAACATTTAATTTATAAGAATCAGCACCTGATTTAATTTAGTTCTTACATTTGCTCTCTTCCATATTTTATATTTGACTAGTGCTATAATATATAATGTCTCCCCTAGGCCCATGTGTTGAGGCTTAGTTCCAATCCCAGGGTACTCCTGGAATGTGGTAGAACCTTTAGGAGGTGGGGTCTAGTGGAAGGAAGTTAGGCTACTAGAGGTGTGGTCTTGAAGAATGTATTAAGACTCGAGCACTGCTTCTTCCTCACTTTTGCTTCCCAGCCACCACAAGATAAATGTGTTTTTGCCATGATATACCGTATTGCTATGAGCCCCAAACAATAGGGGCTTGTGCCCCATGACCAATGGATCATGGACTGATACCTCTGAAAGCATGAGCCAAAATGAMGTTTTCCTCTTTTTAAGTGGACTATCTCAGGTATTTTGTTACAGTAAGGAAAGATAACACAGCTATTTGTCACTAATGAAAAAAAGGCAATACTTGCCTTTGGAAATTTGGAAAGAATAAAAAGGAAGCAGAAAAAGGATCTACCCATAATTTCATTTCTCAGAGACAACCTCTTTCTTTTTCTTTTTTAAAAAATATTTATTTTTTAGTTGTAGTTGAACAAAATACCTTTATTTTATTTATTTATTTTTATGTGGTGTTGAGGATGAACCCAAGCCTTGCACATGCTAGGTGAGCACTTCACCACTGAGCCACAACTCCAGCCCCTTTATTTTTCTTTTGCAAGAGTAATTTGACACATTTCATTCTACTTTCAATKCTTTTTCTTATGTTTGAATAATTATGTACATACACCTTTATATCCTACTTTTCTTTTCAGCAAAAACATCGCAAGTATTTTGCCAGGTCACTAGAAACTCTACATAAACATAAACATTCATTGGACTAATGGCACTCAAGATTATGTAATGGTTACCATAATGTTATACTTTTATGTTGTCCCAAATTTTCAATATTATGAATATGCTTCAATGTATACCTGTGTTTATAAATCTTTTACCATGTTTTAGATTCAAAATTCATGTAAAAAAGCTGGGTGCAGAAGCACATGCCTGTAATTCCAACAACTCAGGAGGSTGAGGCAGGAAGATTACAAGTTCAAGGCCAGCCTCAGCAATTTAGGAAAACCTTAAGAGATTTAGTGAGAACTTGTCTCAAAATAAAAATTTAAAAAGACTGGAAATATAGCTCAGTAGTAAAATGCCCTGGGTTCAATTCCCAGAACCTAAATCCATGTCATGTTAAATTCTTATAAGTAGGACTATAGGATTAAAGTGAACCTTTATGAAAACTTTCTAGTATATAACAACTAATGCCCTCCACCGCTAATTCAACCAGCCTGAATGTTTGCAACCATTTATGTTCCATTCTGTGGTGTAGGAAAGTCACCGTCATCCTGCAATATTTGTGCTTATCTGGTGTAAGGAGAGACTGCATACCTACTGATCTGATAATCAGAAAATGCTTTTGCAATTAGGTTTGCACATTCTTATTTAGCGGACATGAACATGCTTTTGTTAGTTTACTTTTCATTTGTATTTCCTCTTGTGTCRATAGTCTGTTCTTGTTCTTTATCTATTACTTTTTTCTGCTTTTCAATTTTATTCACACAATATAAAACATTATTTTTATAAAACGTTCTTATTATATTTTTCTTATTTTATTGTTTGTCTCAGAATTCTTTTTGATTCTTTAACATATATAAATTAACTAAATAAACTAAAAAGTTTATCTTCTCATTTATGCTTATTTCCCCATTAAAAGCTTGCAAAGATTTTTATAACCAGAGATCAGAGTCAATCACATTTTTTGCATTTAACTCTTTGACTCAAGTGAAAACTCACTTTGCTATATTGAGTAAGGAGGAGGCTTAGACAGATTTTTATTCCAAATAGCTAACTTATGAACTCACATACATTGTGCAATAAACCTTCATGCCCCACTTAAATGGAATGCATTATTTGTACTTAAACTGATTTCCTTCATATAACCTACAAACCACTTATTTAGAAACTTTAAATAAAGAATTAGAATCTTTTCTTCAAGTAAAATTTCTTTTAAGAGATAAACACATGGAAGAAATGCAGGTCGAGAAAGCTGAGCTGCACTGATTGAAAAGGGAGAAGGCTGCCTGATGTAGCCATTTAATCTCTTTGTCTCTGCCCCCTTGCAGAACTGCAAGAAAAATGATTTCTTAACCCCAAATGCACCTTTTCTGTGCTTTCCTGTTTTTTGTGTCTGTGCCCAGATGGACTGCTCTGCCTGCATGCCCTTCACTCATACATTTATGATTACACATCTGTGCATTTGCAAAGAAATCTCCAGTCCTTGGAAGTTTTGTCATCTCTCTCTGAAATCCTAAATACATTTATTTTTCTCTTGAGGGCCCTTCATCATTTATAAGAAATAAAATTGTTGATGCCATATTAAATCTGGGATGAAATATATATGAGTGCAGATATGTTAAAGAAAGCAATCACACTGAAAGCACATTTTCCATATGTATGAGCAAAATAAATGTGCCTCTACTCACGTGTAAGCTTCGAAGTCCCCATTATTGATGGCTTCAATCAGTTGTTCAGTGACCTTGATAATCTCTTGCTTTCGTGCTAAAGGCAAAGACATATATAGCAATGGGAGAGAACAAAGGACAAAAACCATACAAAATGTTACTCTAATTATTGCTATTTCCCTTAAATAGCATTATCACGTATGATACACCCTTCAGGGAAGACAGCATGAATGTTCCTTTCTCCAGTCTTGCTGCCTGAAGTGCACAGACTAGCAGCTCCTACCTCTTCTGGGGACTGTTAGAAACACAGATTCTCAGGTCTCCAGACCTACAGATTCAGAGTCTGCTTTTTAACAGGACTCTCAGATGATTCCTGGGCAAATTCACCTTTGGGACACACAACTACATTCCCTTTGTTAGAAAATAATAGCCATCTGGAAGGTCAAATTAAGTTTTACTACCTTTTTCAATTTCAGTGAATTTGTGATTATTTTCCTACTCATCATGAACAATAATGTCATTTAAAAAGTTAATAGTAGAACTGGGCCTAGGCGTATAATCCTAGCTACTTAGAAGGCTGAGGCAGGAGAATCACAAGTGCAAGGTCAGCAGCTCAGCGGTAGCCCACTGCCCCTGGGTTCATTCCATTTGAAAAAAGAAAGAAAGAAAGAAAAATGATGTTAATCTTAAAAAAAAAAAAAACAACTCTAAGAACATATGTCTATCTTCATACTAAAGATATCTTGCATTGACTCSTTGAATTTTATGTAATTATTTTCATCTTCTGTTTAGCTCAACCAATCTTACAAAAGAGGCAACACTGTGATTGGCCGTCGTGATATTTAGATAAATGGTATTTTGTAAATTGAAGTAAATTAAATGCAGGCAGTTGAGAGGATAGAAGTCCCTCTGTACAGCTGTCAAACCAACACCAAACATGATTTGTTTCTATTTCAAATTCACAATTGGTAAAACTACTAATAGTTAGTTTGGCTCATAATTCTTTTCTAATTACATAGACTTAAGTGTTCTTCCCTGTTTTTTTGGATGCCTATAGTTCCTGTATCATTCATTTGGCAATTATGTATATAACAAAATCATTTTAGTTAAACCACATTATTACTTGTTTTAAGTTGGTATTAAGCTTTGTATAGTATAACCTGTCTTTTTAGTTAAWCGTTTCCTAAAAACAAAGCTTTGGTCATTTCTTAGAATCCCCTGAAAAGCTTTGTCCAATGTCTTTAATAAAATAGATGTTTAATAAGTTTGTGAATTTGGTCAATTCAAACTAAGGATAAACTTTTCTTGATTTCAAAACACTGTCCTTTTACTTACATTTAAAAATTTAAATTTGATTGGATTTTCTTTAAAGAATATTGTGATTCTCCCCTAACAGTACTAAAAATAGTCTAGGGGTGGGGAGTCACAGAAAGTCATCTCCAATCTTTCTTAGTGAGTCAGTGAGATGGCTATTCATCATAGAAAAGCTGACCCTTGGTTTTAGTCCTTTATTCATTAAAAGAACCAGTTTGAATTTTTTCTGAATCTGATCTTCAGGTTTTAATTGCAAACTTAAAAGTTTGGATTAACTTTTAAACTCCAGATTATCACAGTGATAACTTTCCATATTTAAAAATRAATATTCTATAAATCTAATTTAACTCCACTAAATGAAACTGCCTCATAACAAATAAACATGATCATTATATTTGTCCCATAAAATGGTTGCTAACAATGTAAAGGTCTACAATATTAAAATAACACGGTATAGGTTAGAATTGCCTAATTCCMTTTCATGAATATAAAATAACAGTCTTTGTTAGCTCCTTCACACATCAAAACCATTCAATGCCTTTGTTCATTTGGTGAATATCAATAATATATCTATCCTCAAAACAAAGTAACAGAAGTAGTAGCCTGAGATAAACCTGAAATAAGGGTGCTGCCAGTGACACATTCTAGCTCAGTTTAGTTAGGCAATAGGTGATTCATCTGTCTGTGGCCTCAACAGTATGACGCTCTGGCAAAGGCTCACAACAGCTGACCTAATTCTGAAATATAAAGGACATCCATAAGGAGGAGTTCAGAAAACTAGGTTCTAAAATGTGGTAACCGAAGCATCTTCCTTATAGGAAAGCCTCATTGGAAACTGACAGATTTTTTAAACTATGATATGGCTGACTTGAAAACAATGTCAGTCTTTTATAACCAACAAAAATAAAATAAAATAAAGAGGGAAAGAGGGAGGGAGAGAAAATATGAACATATGATGATTATGTCATCTGTGGACTTTCACTGGGTGAGACTCAGTACTGAGTATGAAAAGCTGAGGAGCACTTCCTAAAGTTTCTGAATGTCTCTGTGTTCCCTTGCAAGCACACTATGGAATCGGATATATCAGCCATCTCTCACTCTCTGAACCATAGTGCAAACACTCATTTGCTCTCCAATTTCTGCATGCCACAACGGGGCCTCAGCCTTGTCCTGCATATTGAAAGCAACATACATTGTCTTCTCTCCTAGTTCTTATGCTCAGAAACAATGGTGCTTTGGCTGGCAGAACAGCAAATAGGAATTAGCCTGAATGCTTCTGTGCTGTATCATCACAAGAGCAACRTGACTCTCTTGACTTAGGAGGGGCCTGGGACTCAGGAATCTTTAGAGTGCTTATTTCCCTGGGGCAAAGGAGCTTCAGTGAGTCACAGGTGGCACATGACAGCTGACTCTTTAAAGGAAAGCAGAAGGCTGGAAATGAATCATTTGTATATAGTAGTCAGCTTGTGGTTGGAACTGTTGCCACAAGCCCAGCGTCTGGCCTGGAGGAAGAGGGAGGGGTCCTGCTAGCTAGCTTTCCTCACATCAGCAGGGAGGCAGAGGGACAGTCCCTGGGCCAGGTGCATGGCTAGCTCTGCTCTGTGGGGGAGTGTCCACTCTCCTCTGACCTTCCCTTTTCCTGAAGATGAGTAATGCCCACTGCAGAAGTCAAAGTGGGAAGAGCTTGGGATGTGTCCCTACTCGCCCCAAGATGAGGGAAGAGTGCACCATTAAGGCATTCCTGAATGTCAGGTGCTTCCTCCACCCCACAGCTGGCCATTTAACCCAGGGAGATGATTACCCGGTAGTTTTATTTSTAGAATTGAGGTGCTCAGGCTCATATCCACAGGTCCCAAAGTCATTTCTGGGGTTTTGCAGTTGGGGAAAAGGAGGAGAGAAAAGCAAGGGGAAAGGAGTTTCTAGATTCTGAGTGCAGTTATTGTCCATGCAAACATACAAAGTGGGTAGATTCTCCCACGTAACTTCATATTTTGGCGGCTTTTTTTAAACTGTTCTAAGAAGGACTGACAGTAAGATATGGATGTGAATGATCCCAGGCATTGAAAAATAAAAATAAAAATAAAAGCAGACAAACCTACAACTGAGACTAATTTTGTAATAAATCACTTAGAGATTTCTTTCTTTCTTTCTCTTTTCTTTCTTTCTTTTTTTTTTTCTTTTTTTTGAGGTGGGGAACTGGGGACAGAACCTAGGGCTTTATTGTAAGCTTCATTATCAGCCCCTATTTATAGATTTCAAGATTTCTTCAAACATCAGATTTGACAGAAAGGACAGTAGTCATGGGAACTGCCAAAGGGCTTGAAACGTTGATGTCTCTTCCTTTTAGAACTTCTCCTTGCACTTGACTTTCCTGCTTATTTCATCCCCCACTGTGCTGGGCTCAAAGCTCACCACTGAGCTACATTCCCAGCCCTTCTTCACTTACCATTCTTACTCTCATTTGCCAAGTTATCTTTACCTGGACTTTACATGTTTCAATTCTTTTCTTTTCTCTTTTCTCTTTTCTCTTTTCTCTTTTCTCCTTTCCTTTCCTTTCCTTTCCTTTCCTTTCCTTTCCTTTCCTCTTTCTTTCTTTCTGTCTTTCTGTCTTTCTTTCTTTCTTTCTGTCTTTCTGTCTTTCTGTCTTTCTGTCTTTCTTTCTGTCTTTCTGTCTTTCTTTCTGTCTTTCTAATTATTTTTATTTTGAGATCTGGTTAAATTGTCAAGGCTGGTCTTAAACTTGTGATCCTCAAACTTTAGCCTCCCAATTAGCAGGGATTAGAGGCCTATGCTGTCTTACTCGCTCAATTTCTTTTAAAAGTTCAATTTGAGGTCCTCTGGTCAACTTACACTGTATTCTTGGGGTCCTATCAACATCAGTGTCTTAAACTTCTATGTACATTTTGTCAAAAGACCAAATTACAACAATTTAAAGATCTGAATTGGTTATATTTTCTAGAACCAGGTAGCACTTCATTCCATAAAACAGAAAAAGGGTTCCAGTGAGTCYAGCAGAGGTGGTTGGTTTTAATAGATAAAAAAGGACAGAGCAAAGCAGAAACAAAAACTGGATGGGTCATTTAGAAGTTATTTTCCTTGTAATGTGGGGACAAGGAGAAGAACTGAGAAATAACTGATTGGTTAGCGTCAGGTTACTTCAGGTCACCTTCTTTTGTAAGGATTAAAGCAGAGAGAATCTCATTGTCATACCAAGTGAAACTGGACTTTATAGGAAATTCAGCTATTATCTCTCTAATCCTGATTTCTAGGAAGGTCAGATGAACATTTAATTTTACCTTGTTGTCTGTTTTGTTTTGCTGTTTTGGACTAAGTTCCTATAATGGGTCCCAATAGACCAAGACCAAAGTCAGAATGGAATCATGCTGAAGTTCCATGTCACCAAGGTGAAATGAAATGTTCATCTGACTTCCTAGAAATCAGGATTAGACAGATAATAGCCAAAGGCCTATTTTTTAAATTTAACATTCCCAGTGACTCCCAGTTGTGGTTTCCTTCCTACATCTCTCCTCCAGATCTGTGTGTTAAGGCCTATTTTGGAATCTCTACTGGGTATCTCAAATATACCTCAAAATTAACATATCTCATTTAATCTTATCAACTCTCACAACCCAAAACCTTGTACCTCCATGGACCTCCATTGGAGTGAATGGCAACATTATCCATTTAGATGCACGGGCAAGAAAGATGCCGGAGAATCATCTTGGAACCCCCCTCCTAACCACTCCTATTCAATCTGTCAGGTTCCATTGCTTTTGCCTTTTA